TGCACCACATAAGGATTACTGCCAGCAGCGATCCCTGAGCACAGAGCAAGGAGTAAGCCCTGAGCACAGCTGGCTGTGGCCCCAAACAATCAAGAAAAAAATTAAAAGTCAGAGAAATTAAGAAAGCAAATGGATTTTTTGTGTTCCAATAAATCTTTATTTATAAAAATAGAAAATTGTCCAGATTTGACTTACTGATTTATTTTTTATAATGTAGGAGTACTGCTATTTATTCAGCCATTGATTAAGCTGATTGAATTGGGCATGAACTCCAGTGACTTCCTGATTTAGATTTTAAGTAGGACCTGTGTTTTCCACCATATCTTCTCCTAACCTAACAAGGTACTGGCACATAGTAGGGACTAGCTTAGGAAACATTTAATAAATTTTATTGAGAGGCAATTGTTCAGTCACAAGTGCTATATTTTAAGGAGACGAAGAAAAAGTTTCATGTGGTATTTCTGAGGGAATGTTTATGTATTGTTTAACTGCTGTTGGACATTTAGGATCATTTCAATATTTTTATTAATAATAATCTCTGATGATCTCCTTCATACAGAAATTGTTGGCCTCATTTCTTGTAATTTCCTTTGCACAAATTCCTAGAAAAAGAATTACTGAGTCAAATGGTATATACTGCTAAATTGTTTTCCAAGAAGGTGGAATTGATCTACATTCCTAACAGAAATAAGAAGGGAATATTTATCATATGCAAAGGACTTCTTTTAACATTCTGTTGAAAGAAAAAAAAACACAGAAGTTTTGAACTCCATATGTATTTCTACAAGTTAGCTCACCATAAATATGACTGAAGTGGTGTTAGCGCCTATTATTTTAATAATAACGTTCTTCCACCCTGCTGTGACAGCGGGATTCTGAAGGCTCATTGTTTTACCTGTGGGTGTCATCCAGCCAGGCAGTGGAGGTCACTCTCGTGTGTTGACTGAGCCCCCACAGAAACATGTGCTTCTCATTAGGAAAGCAGAGCCCCTCTCTGCGCTCCTGGCACCAACTGCCCTGCCCTGCCCTGATGTACCCGAAGCCGCCTCCCTGTGAAACTCCCCACCAGAGATGCTGTCCAGATTGTGCATTTCCCACAGGAAATTTTGTTTAGGCTCATTTTGGCACATAATCAGGGGCGAGTCTTGAGCAACTTTTCCTGTGATGGCTGGCAGTGTGCAAAACTTTCCTAAAACACGTTACAGAAATCAGTGGACGACTACTAAGGATACCTGGTCATCATCCAAGTGTCTCTGTAACAGCAAGAGATATCTTGCTGATATCCAGACTGAGCAACAACAACAAAAAGCTAATGGTTGGTGGTTCTCTTCCACTCATGACTGTTGGGGCAGTAGAATGAAGGTACTATTTATGGGGGCTCCTCTTTATGGTAACCCTTACCATTTCCTTAGTGCTGGAAACATTTCCAAATTCCTCTAAGTGAAAAAGAGATGATCTGTGAGAAGTAACAGAACATATTATAGAAACAGGGAGAGATCAGAGAGGTTTCAGAATAATGAGATTTGCTTGAGTGTAAATGGGTCCAACAATAGATGAAAGAGTTGAAAACACCGTATGAAGAGAATGATAACAAAACCCAGGGAGTTTTTTTAGCAGCATGGTCAAGTCCCCTCCATGTTTTCCTCATTTGATGCTCCCACAGATGGGGAAATTGAGGTGCCTTCCCTGATCTGAAGGGAGAAGGAATGGACTGTAGTGAGAAGGGGAAGAGAATGAGATGTTGCTAGACAGGTTAGAAGCGAAAAAAGCTGGTAGACCAGCTTTTCTGACCATCTTCTCTACTCATGACCAGAGTGGCAGTATCTCCTTAATTCAATTAGAATCTTGCTTTGGCAATGTGGAGTCTCTTTTCCAAGAGTTCTACTAATGATGGAATATTTTTTGTTTGCATGTTTCAAAACAAGAGAAACTGCTAGCTAGGAGTAGAGGGAATATAAGTTACACATGAAAAACATTTTTCTTATTTTTCTGCTATAATATACATGGGGACGAGGTAAGGAGTATTCAAGGTGGGGAGAAGTACTTAGCAAGTGTGGCATGTTTTGAAAGGCTAATTGGATGTGGATGGACATATTTTGATGATGTTCTGTGATTGTCAGAAATAATGTCTTACGGAAAAGCTATTGGTGAAGAGAGACCAGTTATTATTGGTGGACTAATGTGCACTCAGTAATATGGAAGTAGTAATGCAGGCAGAGTGCTTGCAGAAAGGTGTCACTCAACATGAAGTGGGAGGGGAAAGAATGAACGCCTTTTGATTTTCCTCTGTCTGTAGGCCCTGACCCACATGAACAGACCCAGGATTGTTTTACACAGTCAATAGAGGACTTTGAATGGTTGCTGACTACTTCCCCCTGAGATGTGGTCGGATGATTGCTCTTAGAATTCAAGAACCAAAACAGGCCTGCACACCAGAAAACATGTGCCCCACGTTTTTTAGGGAAAAAAAAAATTCTAATTTCAAGTAACTTTCCTTGTTTACACAAACCAGTGAAATAGTCACATCATTCTGCTGCTACTTCCTTATCCAAACTACAATCTACTCATCCTTATCTTCCCTTGGAAATGTCACATTATTCTGTGCTCACTCCAGGTGCCCTGATTTTGCAGTCAGAAAGTCTGATGGTCAGTCCAATGGAACAAACTTGAGTATAAAAGGGTTCAATTGAGCTCATTCCAGTCTGTTCTGAGACTGACTTGCCACAAGGGAAATATGGATTGGATTGGTGAAGAGAAAGCAAAAAGATCTTGGGGTGAATTATGAAAGAAATGAAGGAAAGCCCAAGTTCCCTGAAGTTCCTCATTAGTTCCTTGGTTGATGAGGTTTGCCGGTGCAAAGAGCACCCTTTTATTTCAACGAACATCATCTGTATTTGCTGATATACTGAGCCTTGATTCTCTGCTCCTTTCTATCCCAGGGAAAGTGTTTTAGGGGAGTCAAGTTCTGCTACTAAGAGCCTTAGTGACTAGATCTCCAACGGCTTTATCTCATTTCTTGAGAAATCAAGTCTAAGCACACTCCTTTGGGGGACTACTTGACTAAGTAATTTGCCATCTACCCTTTAGAACAGAAAATTCAAGAAGAAAAAACTGTAGGTGCAGGGGTCCAATGTTAGGGACTTATCATGACTGCAAAGGATTCTCTCTATGAAGCCCCCTGCCCAAATACTATATTGGATTAAATTATTTGAATTTCTTTATTTACGTAGTTTAAAATCATATTACAATCAATCATCACAAATTGATTTTTATTGATTTATTTTCTGAGAATTCCATTTGTCATTTCTTTAAGTTATGTTTGTGCAAATAAGATAAAATTAATTTGTTCTATGCCTGCCTCGAGTGCAGGCTGAGGGGTAGGAGGGACCCTGGGGAAATTGGCAGTGGTACTGGTGTTGGAACATTGTATGCCTGAAAAAAACTATATTATGAACAACTTTGAAAATCATGGATTCTTAATAAAAACTAGAAGAAAAAAATAATTTAAAAAAATAAATCCTTCCCATTGAGCCTCTCTGTTCTCAGAATCCAACAGGAAAAGGGGTTTGCAGATAGCTGTTCAACTCGTGCAAATAACTTACCAGTTCCCATATTTTCCCTGGTTCTTTGCCCTGCTTCCTTTTTTTCCTGATCATTGGCCATCACAAAATTCACTCTTTTATTTATTGTTTACATCTGTCATTGGTTCCATGCATCACTAAAAATGTTTATTTCAGGGACTGGAGAGATAGTAAAGCAGGCAAGGCATTTGTCCTCTATGCAGAAGACATAGGTTCAATCCCTGGCATCCTATATGGCCCCCTGAACCCCACCAGGAGTGATCCCTGAGCACGGAGCCAGGAGTAAGCCCTGAGCACTGCAAATGTAGCCCAAAAAGAAAAAATTCACTTCACTCAGAACTTAGAAAAGAAGCTTTGCCCAATGGCTGCAAAGATATCCTTGAATATCAAGAATGAGCTGGTCATTAACGGCCATGATCCAGAGACTCCCAAGTAAATCTCCCCGAAGAGAGCAGCACAGAACAATATGCCTCAGAGATACCTCCAGACTCCTAAGTCACCATCCTGTAAAAAAAAATAATAATTAATTAAATTACCTCAGCTGTATAACAGCATTTAAAAGTTTAGAATTTCTGGTCTGCGTGGTCACATTCACGGCCACATGACGTCTCATAGTCTATAGTACTGATATACAAGAGTAGCACACCATATTTGATGAGGTGTAAAATAGAAGGCAACCCATCCCGGGAGAAAAAAATACATACATGTAGATATATAGATAGATATGCTCACAAACCTAAACTTTAACATGTTAGTGTTCTCTTATACTAGGGCTTAATAAAAGGGCTGGAGCGATAGCACAGCGGGTAGGGCGTTTGCCTTGCACACAGCCAACATGGCCGACCCGAGTTCGATTCCTCCGCCCCTCTCGGAGAGCCCGGCAAGCTACCGAGAGTATTCGATATGCCAGACACAGTAACAACAAAGTCTCCAATGGAGACGTTACTGGGCCCGCTCAAGCAAATCGATGATCAACGGGAGGGCCTTTACTTACTTACTTTACTTAATGGCTACAGGATGAAATATAACAATCTTCACACACTTTCCTCTAAGGAAAGTTTTGGGATCATTTTTACTGTATTATTCATAACAAGGAATACAAAATAAATTATTTAGGTCCTGCTTTTGGGGCAGGGTTTGGAGGTCATATTTCAATGGAAACTACCATTTGAAATATGGTGGTAGTTAGGTGTAATGGTGGTGTGATTGGTGCTGGAATATTAAATGTAACAAATTTTTGTGAACAGCTTTATAAAAACAAAATAATTTTTTTTTAAATTAAAAAGAATGAGCTGGTTGGGGACAGAAGGAGGTTTGTTGAAATCCCTACCCCCAACAAACCTTTGTCAACCCTTCCTTCCCCCTCCCTCATGCTCCTGCCATAACTGCAACCATCTTTTGTTTTCCATCTCTTTGCAGAGCATTGGCTGTGATGACTACCTGGGGTCTGACAAGGTCGTGGACAAATGTGGAGTGTGTGGAGGTGATAACACTGGCTGCCAGGTTGTATCGGGTGTGTTTAAGCATGCCCTCACCAGCCTGGGCTACCACCGTGTTGTTGAGATTCCACAAGGAGCTACAAAAATCAACATAACCGAGATGCACAAGAGCAACAACTACTTGGGTAAGCTCAGTCTTTTTCCATAGAAAACCATTTGCTGTTACCTGGTCTTCTGGGGTCGTGGAACAAGCACAGTCATGTCCAAAGGTCCTGGGACACTAGGACACAGAAGAGGTGCCACTTGGAAGGTGCCACTGGGACACTAGTACACAGACAAGGTGCCAGCCAGTACCCCACTTGAACGAGAAGTTTGCATGGAGAAAGTCTAAAAAAATCCTTCTTGCAAGTAAACATTTACTATCTGCATGTTTCAATCGTCTTTGCTCCGTCAAGGTGATAAAAATCTGTAATTTGGGGAACAGATAAGCTTCTTGTAGTGTCAGGAGACTCAGCTATGTTTGTTCTGTTGAGTTTAGGTGACAAGTTTAAGGTTGAGTTTGATGATCCTTCCTGGACTTTTACTTCCTGGGAGACGCAAGCAAAACCAGCTTTCACTTCCCTCTGGTTCATCTCCCCAGAACAGTATGTGTGTGCCCTCTGAACCTTGCAGAAGGTTCAGTGATCATTTTAGATGACCTCTCATCAATCTTATGAAGCCATTTTCAAGCCATTTTCCTAGAAAAGGACATCTTTGTTCATTTTTATTTCCTTCTAGGTTTCTGATCTGATTACATTTTATGTGAAGCGAATATCGTAGAGATTAATGTTTGCTAATTCATTGGTGCAAAATCAGTTAACACAATAAGAAACCACTTTCTTTAAAGTCACTTTTTTGTTTTGTTTTCTTCCCATTTGGGAGCCATGCCCAGCTGTACCTACTGCTGGCTCTGTGCTCAGGGAACATTCCTGGTGATGCCTGGGGACCGTAGGTGGTGCCAGGAACCGAACTTGGGTTGGCTACATACAAAGCAAACACCTTACCCACTATCTTATCTCTCTGTCCCCGTGATAGATATTCAGTTTATTTTTAATTGTCTATTTTACAGCTTAATTGCATAGACTGTGTTCCAGAAAACATTCTTAATGCTTTGATGTATTAAATCATTGAATCCTCTCAATATCCCTAAAGGATTGAAGCTCTTCCCAATCCCATTTTGCAGGTAAAAATATAGACATCGAGAGATTATCAATTTGGCCAACTTCCTGGAGCTGGGATTTAATCCCAGGCAGCCTATTGCAAACCTACTTCTTGTAAGAGATTATAACCAAGAATGGTTAGAACTTGAGTTCTGGCAAACCCTTAGCTGTGCAGCAGTCAATGGCCACAAAAGTTAAAAGTTTGTGGCTTTTGCAAATGTTATAAATCAGGATCACCCCCCAGAAGATAACTCCTAATTCAGCAACCTTTTGTCATAGTCATCTGAGGCCAAAATTATCTTCCCTTAGTTTTCTTGGCTGGAAGCAGAAGGGATGGCAGACAGAACTGTGAGGACAACCTAATTAAAATGGAAAGCTGTTTCATTTGTGCTGGAAAATCCACGAGCCATCTAAGTGGCACTCAGCCTAGTTTCCCCATAAGTTGTCTGCTATTTTTAGTAGTAAAAATTCATCTCTGTGCATTTGTTCTTTTATTATTTTGGGGGGAGGGGCTAATATTAAGAGATCACATCTCCATAAACATTCTGCCTCCCACAATGGAAAATGTTCTTTTTGGAATTATTTGAAGTATGATTGCATTCAACTGCACCAAAAAAATCATGCCACTTTTTATGAAGTGTTGTTTTTAGTAAATTTTCCCCTGGCTAGCAAAAATCATATTCAGGAAGCACTTTTCATATGTTGCCCAATGAAGATATAAAGAGACAATCTGGAAGAATATTTACTAGATATCTAAAACTTTTCTCAGAACTCCACGTTTCCATCTGGAGTGTGGGAATAAGAATCATGACTTTTTAAATATTTGTGAGTCAAAAAGTAACAGTATTTAGAATCCTGCAAAGGTCCTGTCTTTAGTCATTGACAAAGGTCCTTCCCTTTCTTTTGTCTGAGAGAATTTGTTAGGATTTTTTTTATGGAGTAAAATATTCTTCTTCCCTTTAAAACAAACAAACAAAAAAAGACAAAGAGGTGACAGAATGCCCAAAATCAATGGGAAGCTGATGCCAAGGATCAACTTCCTATAACTTCCTATATCTTTGCAGCAGGTGAAGTGTGTGAGAAATCCAGAGTCCAGGGCAGTATTTCATGATGCCACCACCAGACCAGGGGGAGCAGAAGGAAGAGAAGGCCTTGCAGAGTTTGGGGAGAAAGCCAGCTCAGCACTTCCTGATGCTTATTGTTTCTCCAAACAATGCTGGAGAAACCATGGCATTGAATGGTGCCCTGGTTTCAGAACTTTACTGTAGGTTCAAAAGCAATGAAATTCTGCAGACTCCAGCACCACTTTTCTGTGTTTTTTTTTTAATCAGTTTGCATTCTCCAAGATACAGACTGCTTGGTGTCTCATAGATTCCTCTTCTTTACTTTTCACTGGATAAGACTTCTGAATCCCTGTATTTGTGGTAGACTAAATAGTCTCTTTTGCACATGAGTTATTCTGACTTCTGCTCTTTGGAAATAAAAAGTTAAAGTTAATTTTATTTAAAAGATTGACATTTTATATTACTTGTGTCTTCCTTAATATTAAGATGTTATGAAATTATTTTAGCTGAAATCTCAAAGTTTGGCATAGGATAGTCTGCTCAGCTTACTAATATCATTAAGTAACAGTCAAGAAACCAGACATAAAAGCATAGCGAGCAAAAATTGACTCTAAAGGACATTTTCTACCTGCCAACATTTCATATTATCGATACCCTTAAACTTGGAAGAGAGTTCTTAAGTCTATACAATGTTTAAAATAAACTGGCAATACTTTTACCTTTAAGCATATTTCCTTAAAATTTTTTAAGCAATCATAATAATGGCCAGAAGTTTTAAAGCCAAATACCTTGGTCATCATAATTTGCCAACTTTCATTCCTTGAGGAACTTTCTATCTGAAAAAAAAATTCTGGAAATAAAGAAAAATATTTAAATACTATGATAATCCCATGTTTTATATGCATTGTCAAGAATTTATGCATAGACAAAATAGCAAAAAGATGAAATTCCTTCTTTGTGTCAACCTCATGTTTGATCCACTGCCTTTTGGGGCTTGAAGCGTTGGGCCATGCCTGGAAATGCTCAGGGGCCATTCCTGACTCTGTACCCAAGTACACAGGGGACCATGATGTGCTTGAGGTCAAACCAGGGTTGGCTATAGGCAAGAAAGATACCTTAACCCTTTACTACCTCTTCGCTCATTGGCCACTGCTTTCAATTGCAAAGACAGAGATCAGTAAGCACTCACTTTCCAGTGTGTGCATAGTGGTTCTTTGTGGAAAGCCAAATAAGATTGTGTTTTCTAAACTTTACATTGTTGCACTTACACTTTACCGTTTGCTTTATACATCTTGATATATATAACTAATTTATTACTTTTCCACGAATCGATTATAATAGAATTTAAGCTGTTCCCTATGGAAGGTCGTTTAGATTGTCTCCAGTTTTCTAATATTACAAATAATACTTTAGATTATTTTATCCAAGATGCCACGCTGAAGGCCAGAGAGATAGTGTAAAGTACCTGCCTTGTATGAAGTTGACCCCCATTCAGTCCCTGGCACTGCATCTGGGGTTGCTTCTGAGCACAAAGCTGGGTGTAGACCCTAAACTCCAACAGTTATGACCCAACACCATCCCCAACCACAGCTTTCCTAAAAAGAGAAAAAAAAAGAATCAAGATGGCAGATTTGACACAGAGGCAGGGTGGGATGGGGAGGATGGGGGCTGGGAGGGATGCTAGGACCCGTGGTGGTGGAGGACGGCCACTGGTGGAGGGATGGGTACTTGATAAAAAAAAAAAAAAGATGGCAGATTTGAGTACATTCCTTCTTCCCAAGATTGCATCTAAATGACACTAAGGTAAGAAGAAAACTGCTGGGAGAACACACATGCACAGAGCAGAGAAAATCACAACATCAATAGCTCTGATGAGGCTGTTAAGGGGAGAAGAGAGCTGGAAAGTGGAGAAATGGCACAAAATCCTAGATATTAACAGATTCCCTGCGTAAACATCCATAATGCTGGCTTCAACCTCACCCAATAAATGAGGGAACTATGGTATGTCAGAGAGTTCTTATGCTCCATCTTTTCAGTTTCCATTCTAGAACTAGACTAAGAGTGGGCCATGCACCACACTCTCACCCTTAGAACTTGGCCTGCTAAAAGTTCTGGATAGGTGGGGCTGGAGTGACGGTATACTGGGCAGTGTGCACTTGCTTTGCACTCAACAAATCTGGGTTCGATCTCTGGCACTTCATATGGTCCCCTGAGTACTGCCAGGAGTGATCCCTGAGTGCAGAGCCAGGAACAAGTCCTGAGAACAGCCAGATGTGTGCATACAAAAAAGTTCTGAGTATGTGCAGAGTTGTTGGGCAGTCTTTCCTTTGCTTTTTTCTCAAAGGGAAAATGATATGGAGGAGCAACCAAGAATCACTAGGCGTCTAAAGCCCACAGCATGATAAAAACAAACAAACAAACCAAAACATCACAGGATTAAGGTAAAGGTAAAGGCCCTCCCGTTGATCGTCGATTTGCTCGAGCGGGCCCAGTAACGTCTCCATTGGAGACTTTGTTGTTACTGTGTCTGGCATATCGAATACTCTCGGTAGCTTGCCGGGCTCTCCGAGAGGGGCGGAGGAATCGAACTCGGGTCGGCCATGTTGGCCGCTTATAAGGCGAATGCCCTACCGCTGTGCTATCGCTCCAACCCATCACAGGATTAATGACTAGAAAACAGATCAAGTGTTTGGTGAAGAAGATTTAGGAAAAGGGTTTTTGTTTTGTTTTGTTTTGTTTTGTTTTGTTTTGTTTTTCACAAGTAATGCTTCCATCAATATCTAAGTGCTTTCGTCCTTTTGTACCTATAAGATAGCTCTGTAGGACAGAAGTCTAGAAATGAAGTTTGTGGAATTCTATCACATGGAATTATAAATGTACAGAACTATTCAATTTCCAAAATTGAATAAATCAAAATTCTTC